GGGGTTTGCACTTGGGGCATTGCTGGTGCCCTTTTGATCGGGGGGGGCACCAGGGCCTCTTAGCCAAAAAAATTTAAGCTCTTTGGGGAAATTTCAGGTCTACGCCAAATTTTCCTGAGTGATTACCTTTATGGTAGATCTCTAAGTGTAGTTCTCAAGGGAAAGGAATCAGCAAGACATCCTATTGGGGCAAGTGTTCCACAAAGAAGTGTTCTGGGACCATTGTTATGGAATGTCTATTTCAACGACCTTCTTCATCTCATCCCAGAATTACATGCATATGCAGACAAACTGTACACAGACATTCACTTTTCCAAGAGAAGAAAGGGTCAGCGCTCTAAGCTACATCAATCACCAGCTAAGAGCTATATCAGCTTGGGGAAATAGATGGCAATAACATTTGAAACCTGAGAAAACGCAAATGATGATGATCTCTAGCCCCAAAGATGGTAATGCTGGTGCAGTAGTAAGGATGAATGGGAGGGTTTGGCACCTGGAGAAAAGTTGATATCCCTGGGGTGAAAATTTGACTCCAAACTGACCATGAAAAACCACATTGTAAATTTTGCAAGCAAGGTAGCCAGGATGCTTACAGCACTTCGAAAGTATCTCGCACCTGCTTGACAGCGGGGGTTGCAAGTTTTTTGTACGAGGCACAAGTACGCTCACACCTTGAGTATGCTCCACTTTCTTGGTTCACCGGGCCCCCCCTTCTAATCTGCGACTGCTTGACAGAGTAGAGAACAGAAAAAGACGTTTCATCTCTCGCTGGCCAATCCTGGATAGATCTGCCATTTCCAGTAGAGCCTTCAACAAAAGGAGGGATGTGTGTGGCCTTTACTGTTATGTACAAGGCCAATATTGTAAAAGTACCAAACACTTGGATCCACTTCAAGGACAGCGTAAAAGCAAGTTTCTGCCCCACAGGACGGGCAGAAAGCAGCAACTTCACTCTGGCTGCCCCCTTTCCCTCCAGAACATCACTTCATCTGAGATCATTTATTCCCAGGATGACTCGAGTCTGGAACACATTCGACAGCATTATGATGTCAACGAGATGAAGTCAGTTGAAACAATGAAAATGCTGTGCCACAGATGGCTCCAAAATTTATCCTGTTCCTTACTTGTATATCTCATAACTATAAAAATACTTGTACATTTCATAACTATTTATTTTATTTATTTATTTATTTTTTAATTTAAGCATACATACAGAGGTAAAAAAATATAGGTAAGAGCAGCATGCCAAAGCCACTTATATGCATAGCATTAACGGGCTGGCTTAAAATTAACTTAAGATTAACTAAAACAATGATGAAATCAGTGATAAAACATTATTGTAAACAGATAACTATAAAGCACAAATGAGTATTACAAAGACAGGTCATATGGTTACTTGCATTTGCTGTACATTCAGTCGAATGAGTATTCTGTTAGGTAGTGTATTTAAAAAAAAAATAAAGTTAGATTGGGTCCTAGGTTTAACATTTGTTTTGATATAATTGTGAGTAACATATAGGATATTTCAATTTAAAAGGGGTTTATTATTCAGTATTTATTTGGTTTTGAGTGAGTAAGTGATCTTTGAGAAGAGACTTGAAATTTATAAACGGGTAGAGTTTCTTTTTATTTACAGGTTAATGAATTCCAGATTTTAGGGCCTTTTTTTGTGCATTGAGTTTTTGCATAGCGTGAGATGGACACGAGGGAACATCAAAGAGTGATCTGTGCCTTGTGTTATGGTCATGGTTCTGTTGAGGTTGGCAAGGAGATGTTTAGGGGAGGGTTTAATATCAGAGTTAAGTGTACTATGTATGTAATAGGTGCAATAATAAGTATGGATGTTTTGTATGGTGAGTAGGTTGAGTGTTTTTGAATATTGGTGGAGTGTGTTGCCTGTAGTGAGAATTTTTTATTTATTCTAACTGCAGCCTTTTGTTGGGTAATTAGTGCTTGAGAGGTTTAATTGTTGTTGAGCCCCATCACAAATTCCCATAGGTGAGATAGGGGTAAATAAGAGAGTGATAAAGGGCCAGGGGGGCCCGACTGTGGAACATAGTAACCGTATCTTCAATAGTAGCCTACATTTTTGGAAATTTTCTTAGAAATTGTTGTATATGTGTATGAAATTTGAGTCTATTATCGAGGTGGATTCCTAGGAATTTTCCCTCTGTTAGCTTTTGTGATAGGTGATCCGTTTATTTTTATGTTAAGAGGTACATCTGTAGCTCTGTTAAACCCAAAATGAATGAGGGAGGTTTTGTCAATGTTTAGTGTAAGTTTGTTAGTCCTCATCCAGGTAGATATTTTCTGTAATTCGGTGTTTACAGTATTGGCTTTGCGTGACTGGGCTCGGGTGAGAGAAGACGTATGTAGTGTCCATCTGCAAATAGTGTGGGTTTGAGTAGTTGCGAAGCCCTTTGGTAGGTCATTTTTGTATAGGAGAAAGAGAAGAGGGCCAAGGGCACTTACCTGTGGGACACCAACTGTAATTGGCTGTGCGGAAGAGCTTGCCCCATTTGCGTACACATATTGGCTTCTGTTGTTGAGGTAAGACTTGAGGTAGTTGAGGGAGTGCCCTCTAATACCATAGTGTGACAATTTTACGTGGAGCAAGTCATGGTCAACTGTATCAAAGCTTTACGTAAGTCAATGAAGATCCCCAGTGGGACTTCTTTTTTCTCTATTGCAGTGTATATATGTTCTAGCATGTGTATAATAGCATCATTAGTATTTTTATTAGGCCTGAATCCAAATTGGCAGGGGTTGAGAATGTTTTGGGAGATGAGGTAGGAGTAGATTCGTTTATTTAATTAATTTAGGAGAACTGTAAGGAAGGTGGAGGATTCAATGGATTTGTTAAAGAGTGTTGCAATGATTGGTGATAGTACTTGTGACGCTTTTTTGTATATAAAGGGTGGTAAGGTATTTAAACTTGTATGTTTCATAACAATAAAAATGCTTTCAGATGAGCTGATGTAGGTAACAGCTCTTAGCTTGTCAATAAAGTTAGAAATCCTTAACCTGTAAATAGCTTGCCAATAAAGTTAGGGATCCTTAACCTTGTCAAACCCTGTGTGTGTGAGAGAGAGAGAGAGAGAGAGAGAGAGAGAGAGAGAGAGAGAGTGTGTGTGTGAGAGAGAGTGTTGTGAGAGAGTGTGAGAGAGAGTGTGTGAGAGAGAGAGTGTGTGAGAGAGAGAGTGTGAGAGAGAGTGTGAGAGAGAGAGTGTGAGAGAGAGTGTGAGAGAGAGAGTGTGTGAGAGAGAGTGAGAGAGAGTGTGTGAGAAGAGAGTGTGAGAGAGAGAGTGTGTGAGAGAGTGTGAGAGAGTGAATGTGTGAGAGAGAGAGTGTGAGAGAGAGAGAGTGAGAGAGAGAGTGTGTGTGAGAGAGTGTGAGAGAGAGTGTGTGAGAGAGTGAGAGAGAGAGAGTGTGTGAGAGAGAGAGTGTGAGAGAGAGAGTGTGTGAAGAGAGAGTGTGAGAGAGAGAGTGTGTGAGAGAGTGTGAGAGAGAGAGTGTGTGAGAGAGTGTGAGAGAGTGTGTGTGGTGTGTGTGTGTGTGTGTGTGTGTGTGTGTGTGTGTGTGTGTGTGTGTGTGTGTGTGTGTGTGTGTTTTTTTTTTTTTTTGTGTGTGTGTGTGTGTGTGTGTGTGTGTGTGTGTGTGTGTGTGTGTGGTGTGTGTGGTTGTGTGTGGTGTGTGTGTGTGTGTTGTAACGTCCTGAGGGATGCCAGTTTCTGTTCTTGATCTCAGTCATCTCCCAGCCACAATAGAATTGAAGTGTACCAATACAATACGGGATACAGATGATGGTGACCATAGTTACTATGGAGACAGACGCTTGTGATATGCAAAGAATATGCTGCCATTCTAACATACAGGAGGGTCCCACTTTACAGCACTTCCCTTGATGGCATTTGCTAATTCAGCAGTTTTTAATTATACCCATTCTTTATTTATTCAAAATTCCTTCATTAAAATATATTCACCACTCATAAGCTAAGGATGAAAATATTTTAGGTAAGTAATGTGGGTACTGTATATGCATTTTTTAGGCCTAGCTCACTTTGTAGTGATTTTCACTTAACAGGTGTAACCAGTCCCTAACCTGATGTATAAGCTGGGCCTTCCTGTAATTGCTTTCACACAAGTATACAACAGTATTATTCGGTCTATTCTCACACTAGCTGTATGTGAAATCAGATCAAATATACATTAAAGATTAATAGAGAAAATGAGTGTACTTTAAGTATTGTTCATTAAGCATGGATTCCTCTCCTACCAACTGTCTGATCATTTATAAACAAAGCAGTTTTTAAAGAACTCTCAGGACTGCAGTGAAATATTGTAGACTGTTATGTGATTGTTTGTAACCCAGCATCTAGGGTCAGTGTAAACCTTGAGTGCTTCAAGTCTCTCAGCTATGTTAGCATCGGTCACATGGCATATCAAAACATATAACATTGTATATCATAACATACTTGTATAATATACCATCTTGTCACTAATCCAGGTCAATCTGCAGTCATGACTTCGAAAGAGATGACAGAATGGTATCAGTATCCTGTATGCAATAATAATAATGATACTATTATGAAATGGGTTATATGACTTTGATCATAGGGCATATCCACATGCCAACAGTTGCCTGAATCTTCCCTTAATGACAGTACATAAGCCCTGAAAATTTAAGATTGACCAAATGAGGCATTCTCATGTTAAAAGAAATTACAATGACACTTAGGAGGAAAAAAAAAATCTGGCAACCATTTAAAGGTGCCCCTTCAGGAATAACCTTAAAAAATTATACAACACACCCTTTCCTCCTATGGTGTATCATGGGAGATTGTGTTTTTAACTCATGTAGAGTATATTTAAGTGTTTCTGGGAGTTTAGCAAGTACAAGTACTCTACAACTAATATGCTGATTTCAGTTGTAATAATGATAAAGAACATTATTCTATATGTAAAGGCTGTTTTGTAACTAAGGCATTTTGTTTACTCAGATTGTTCGAGCTGATATCAAAGACCTTAATAATGAAGACCTTGATGGAGCTCCATATGGTTTTGTACCCTTCTGTGATTCCCGCAAGGAAATAGAAGGTTTCAGGTAAGTTATAATGAAGTATAGCAGGTTGTTCTTACTGACAGTAACTCTATTGTATCTTGAGAAACTTGTGAATCCACTCGAAATATTATGACAGTACAATGGAACCTTGACTTGCGAGTGTCCCAACTTATGAGTTTTTTGAGATACGAGCCATCCCTGGGTCGATTTTTTGCTCTGAGTTACGAGCCAACATTTGAGTTATGAGCCAGCTCCCCCCGTCCTCCCTCTTCCCCCTCAACCAAAAACCTGGACACCTCTCTTGTTTTTCTATGATTTCATGCTTTAATTCCATGGAAATCATTCTCTTTTTCTTCTCAGCAATAATAATAATATAATAATAATAATATTACAGTCAAGTCACTCAGTAAGCCAGTCAAGTCAGTAAGTCAATTAAGTCATTCAATAAGTCAGTTAAGTCATTCAATAAGTCAGTCAAGTCATTCAGTAAGTCAGTCAAGTCATTCAGTAAGTCAGTCAAGTCATTCAGTAAGTCAGTCAAGTCACTCAGTAAGTCAGTCAAGTCATTCAGTAAATCAGTCAAGTCACTTAGTAAGACAGTCAAGTCACTCAGTAAGTCAGTCAAGTCATTCAGTAAGTCAGTCAAGTCACTCAGTAAGTCAGTCAAGTCATTTAGTAAGTCAGTCAAGTCACTCAGTAAGTCAGTCAAGTCATTTAGTAAGTCAGTCAAGTCACTCAGTAAGTCAGTCAAGTCACTCAATAAGTCAGTCAAGTCATTCAGTAAGTCAGTCAAGTCATTCAGTAAGTCAAGTCACTCAGTCATTCAGTAAGTCAAGTCACTCGGTAAGTCAGTCATTCAGTAAGTCAGCTACACAAACTCATGTTAACCTCTTTTTCTTTATACAAAGTAACACTTCAGTTACGACTACAGGTTATCTCTTGTCTAATTTTTTTTTTTTTTCAACAAGTCGGCTGTCTCCCACTGAGGCAGGGTGACCCAAAAAAGAAAGAAAATCCCCAAAAAGAAAATACTTTAATCATCATTCAGCGCTTTCACTTGTCTAATATCTTTGTTAATTCTAAGACGTAAGTGCTTATACCTCTTTGTGCCACTTTCAGCACCACTAGTATGGCTACTGGGTATCATGATTGCTTGGCAGATACAAGATATTTTAATTAAAATATCGTAACACAATTGACAAACACAGCTGCCTTGTAGCAGAGAAAGACTGGACACGTCTGAATTACAAATGCTGGGATGGTGGGGGGTGGTGTCAGTTAGTGGTAGGGGAGGGCTCCCCGGCTGCTCTACAACGAGGCGGCCGCTTGAGCAAAAGAGAATTTTTATTTTCATTCCCACATACTGAACCATGTTAAATTAATTATACGACGTGTTATATAAAATTGTGCAGCAATTCTTCCATGGTGGTCTACTGAATTATTATAATAACAATAGAGCTTCAGTTCCCTAAATTAATAATAATAATAATGATAGAGCTTCAGTTCCCTAATTAATAATAAGAATAATAATATAATATGTACTACTACTAATATAATAATATTACTATTATTATTATAACGATAGAGCTTCAGTTCCCTAAATTAATAATAATAATAATAATAATAATAATTATTATAATAATGATAGAGATCCAGTTTCCTAAATTAATAATAATAATAATAATAATGCATAATACGTAAGTAATAATAATTCAGAGTGCTTCTGCTAGTTGGCGCAGCTGGTAAGCAGTAAACATGTTTACATCCCTGTGGGGACAGTTCTCTCGTGCTTGTTTGCATTTTTTTAACAGTCATTTGGCCAAATTTCTTTTTTCTAGCCATGGGTCCTAGTGATCTACTGCAGTTAGCCTCAAAAATACTCTGTTCTCTCTTACAATAAGGACGGGGGAAGATACTATAGTCAAATTGGGACAGAAATGGCTGACACTTCTGCCACTGCTGCTGCCTCTGCCAACATATTATGGCCTATTTTATTCATTCTAGAGTATATATATCATGTTTCTGTGCTAATTATATTGTTTATTATGTCATATTAGATGAATTGTGTTAGATAAATAAGCCGTACAGTTGATAATAGCATCATATTCAAGTATTTTTTCTTGTCTCTCCAGAGTGCAGGAACGAATTAATTGCTTTTCAGTTAATTTAAATGAGGAAAATTAACTTGATATACGAGTAAATTGAGTTACGAGCTAGCTCCTGGAATGGATTAAACTCGTAAATCAAGGTTCCACTGTATTGAGATGTATATAATTAATATCAAATGCTTTATTGCTAGTGTTGATGAAGTAACAAGAAATCTAAGTATAAATATCTTTTAAATTTAACCATTTTAATAATTACAGTGGACCCCCACATAACGATCAGCTCCCAACTCGACCAATTATGTTAGCGTATTTTTGTAAATGCTTTTGTAGGTGTATTTTTAGGGGTCTGAAACGGACTAATCTAATTCACAATATTTCTTATGGGAACAAAATCGGTCTATAACGGCACCCAAACAGACTTCTGGATTGAAATAATATCGTTATGCGGGGGTCCACTGTACTAGTATGGGTATGTATAATTATATAAAATAATATTGGCCAATTATTCTGTCAGATTCTGGAAGCAAGGGTATTGGCGCAACCATTTAGCAGGCAGAAAGTACCACATTTCTGCACTCTTTGTGGTGGACCTAAAGAAGTTCCGCCGAATTGCTGCTGGAGACCGTCTACGAGGCCAGTACCAGGGCTTGTCACAAGATCCCAACTCTCTCTCCAACTTAGACCAGGTGAGTGTATTGTGTTACTAGATAAGGACTTCATAACTTTTCAGAGTAGGTTTATTTGAAGCCTGTGTTAGAGTAGCTGACCATCATCAGTATTTAAGCCATTCTAGATTTTGATGCTTCTGTCAAGGTATCCTTGGTTGAAAACTATCATAAGTGGTTAAGTTTTTCTAAGCATGTCCTGCCAGTGCTGCATCACCTTAATGTAGTGGTGGGGCTTGAGTGGCTTTACATGACTAAGAATCCACCAACCCTTTTTTTTTTTTTTTTTTTTTTTTTTTTTTTTTTTTTTTTTTTTTTTTTTTTTTTTTTTTTTTTTTTTTTTGATTTCATTTTAGGGATTAGTTGCAGTGCTAAAGTGGCTGTCTGATGCTGGAAGTACCATTGGAGGGTCACTTGTGGTTCTCAAATGATATGACTTTAGCATTCTTTTCTGTTCATCTGTGCCCATTACTAGTGCAATACTGCTAGTGCCTCTGGTGTTCTTAGTCAAAATAGGCAGTTTTGCTAATCATTGTACTACTAATTCCAGAAAAGTCATCCTGGTGATGTGCACCGGGATGGTGCACAGGAAAGTAAAGCCTGCTTGTCATGTTGGTTAGGCGTGTAGGGACTAATGACAGGGTAGTTATCTCTTATTAGTGGATCAGACATATCATTTTCTTTCTTTTTGACATACTTTGTTTACTACTACTACTTTCAGCAGACTGGCCATATCCCACTGAGGCAGGGTATCCCAGAAAGAAAAACAAAAGTTTCTCTTATTAAATTTAGTAACTTATACAGGAGAAGGGGTTACTAGCCCCTTGCTCCCAGCATTTTAGTCGCCTCTTATGAAACGCATGGCTTACAGAGGAAGAATTCTGTTTCACTTTTCCATGGAGAACTTTGTTTACTTATCTCTTCCATTTTGCAAATTCAGGTGTGCTGGTTTATACACCAAAGTGACTACCCATAACATCTCTTGCACGGAAAAGGACGTTAAAAATGACTTGGAGCAAGTCTCTGGCAGATGGCTGCCTCAAAAATTACCTGGATTAAGTCTCTGGCTGCAAGGGGCTAGTAACCCATTTTCCTGTATACATTTCTAAAGTTAAAAAAGTGAAACTTTTGTTTTTCTTTTTGTGCCACCCTACTTCGGTGGGATATGGCCAGTTTGTTGAAAGAAAGAAAGAAGTCTTTGGGCTGACTTATGGCTCAAAAATGACTTGGAGAAAAGTCCTCTGCCAGTCATCTGGCTTAAAAGGCCAAGAATGAGTGAGTCTTAAGGTTCAGTATTCTTTTGTTGTATCGTGGTGGATGCAGAAATATTGACAGCTTTGGGTAGGGCTGACCAAGCATTGGTTTTCTACCATAAATTGCAAGGCTTCAGCTTTGAAACTTTTGCAGCTAATGCATCTGTGATTTTATATTTTTTTGTGACCTGTTGGCAGGAGGTAAATGTGTCTTTAATCACTCTCCTTGTGGATGTGTCTGAGCACTGATTCAGATGGAGGCAAGTGAGCAAGGGTTGTTTGAGAGGTACATGCCAGTATGTTTGACAGTACAAGAGCATTTTAAGTGTGCATTACCTCACTCGGTATTGCTTCTCTGGATTCATGAACACTAGAGTGAGGAAGACAAATGTGATCTCTTCATGGCAAATAAAGGGGAAGGTGAATGCTTTTGGTAAATACCAATTCCCTAGTCCTCATATTTGATTGGCCTTGTTCAGTTACATTTGAGAAATTCCTTGAATTAATTCTTGGTTAGGCAGGCTCTGTTGCTTACACTGGATACTGGGATTGGATATTTATCAATAGTTCATAGACCCTTGAGTGTAGATTGTCATGTTTGCTGTATGAAAAAAGTACTCTGTGATGGGTTTGATGAAGCAGTGTCCTCACCTTGTCACCTGCTTCACAACATGTTGTAGTGCAAGGAAGCACAAGTCACAGCAAACATACGACTTCCTGGGCAAAGAGTTATGAGTCTTGTGTTGTAGAGCTTATATAGGCTGATTACTTTTTGTTTCATGGAACCTGACCATAGACAACAGTTTTCCATACTTCAGAATGGTATGTTATTTCATAAAGCGTGGAAGGATTTTTGAGTTTTAGTGCTCTATGAATATTTAACCTTTTTATTTTATCCCCTTCTCTTTACTCTTTTATTTTTTTTTTTAATTTCATTTATGAGTTTGTCCTAACTGCAAGTGGTGTGAGTATTTTTTTCAGCATTTGCTAGATCCAGGATCCTGTTTTTTATTCAATGATTGTTTTAGTTTATAATTTACCTGGTCACTTGATATCATTACTTTGTATTTGTTTCAGGATCTTCCAAACAACATGGTACATCAAGTGCGTATAAAATCCCTCCCTCAAGACTGGCTTTGGTGTGAGTCTTGGTGCGATGATGAATCTAAGAAAACTGCTAAGATTATTGATTTGGTAAGCCAGATGTGTGCCTACTCTGTTACTTGTATCAGGGTTTACTACATATAATAGAAATCTCTAACTTATAAATAATAATAATTGATGATGAGTTTAATTTTTCAAGAGCATTCTGGTACTTAACCCCTTGAGTGTTAAGATCCCTCTTCTCAAACTTGCTCATTGTGTCAAAGAATTAAAAAAAAAACTTTTGAAATGATAGAGAATCTTTTTCTGAAGGTAATGAAACCAAAAGTTCAATATTTGATGGGAAACTTATGAAATTACACTCTCGCTAAGTCAAAGGTCTTGGTGACATTTACGCATCGGCCATTTTGCCTACTTTAAGCCCTACTTTGGGCCAATTCCTTTGTTCTACTTGACCAAACTCATAGCTATTTCGCTAGAACTCCTTTTATTCTGTTGATTGAGTACAAGAAACTGCCCATTCACCTATTTCAACTACACAAAAAAGTGATCAGAAATTGCTAATTTAGCCAGTTCCACACAAAATTCAAGAAAGGCCAGTTTCAAAATAGGGGCCAGAATAAACACTGCAGGCATTATACGGTGGAACCTCTACTTAAGAGTTTAATCTGTTCCATGACCTTGCTTGCAACTGGATTTGCTCGCTTGCAGAGTCAATTTTCCTCACTTAACCCGTAAACAGTCCAAACGTATATATACGTTCACTACCGTACTGCCCCAACTTTTTTGAGAAACAAAACATTGTTGTTTTTAATAGGAAAAAAGAGCATATGGTACCCAGGCATCCCTAATTATTTTAATATGGTGCACAGTGAGTGCTCACACCCATTCTCACATGTCTAGGCGACTCAGGCTTATCGTGGCAATGTTAAATGTAAGACACATAAAACCTATATATACGTTTGGGGCACTAGCGGTGAAAACGTATATATACGTTTGGACAGTTTACGGGTTAAATTAATTGAAATGGAATTAATTCGTTCCAGTGGAATTCCAGGCATGAGAAAATACTTTAATAATTTCCCTAATATCAACTCTACAGCTTATTTATCTATCACAATTCATGTAATATGACATAATAAACAATATTAATAACATAGAAACATGATATATACACTAGAATGAATAAAATATATGTCATTAGGTATGTGGCTAGTGGTGGTGACAGCAGCCATTGTTGTTGGGGTTTATAAGGCCACCACAGCAGCCATTCCTACTCCTGACTACATGTGTAGAGAACCTAGGATAACCCAGAAAAGTCAGAGTGACTTATAAGTGCTACACTCTTAATGCTTCACTTAATTGCTACACTTAATTGCTACACTCTTAATGCTACTGCTGCTTCATGTTGTCTGCCACTGCTACCTCATGATGTCTGCCACTGCTACCTCATGATGTCTGCCACTGTTACCTCATGTTGTCTGTCACTGTTGCTTCATGTTGTCTGTCACTGCTGCTTCATGTTGTCTGTCACTGCTGCTTCATGTTGTCTGTCACTGCTGCTTCATGTTGTCTGTCACTGCTGCTTCATGTTGTCTGCCACTGTTGCTTCATGTTGTCTGTCACTGCTGCTTCATGTTGTCTGCCACTGCTGCTTCATGTTGTCTGTCACTGCTGCTTCATGTTGTCTGCCACTGCCACCTCATGATGTCTGCCACTGCTGCTTCATGTTGTCTGCCACTGCTACCTCATGATGTCTACCACTGATGTTGCCAAAGAATCAAACATTTCTGATACTTTGAGCTCAATTTCTCAATTTATTTTTGTAGTATATCTTCCATTCCATCACATGAAACCAAATAAAACGAGTCTAGTGGCTAACGCGACGGGCTGGAGTTTTGAGACTCTATGACCGCGGGTTCAATCCCGGCCGGGGGTATGGTTTGGTTGAGAATACAACCATAGAAACCATACGTAAATATACCGCTAAGGGGAGGTTAATGGCTGAGAAGTGAACTCCGTTATTTATGGTCCGATTTCTTTCATTTTTGGTGTATGTTAAGAAGCATCTTTTCATCATACATTGCCCAAGTTTTAATAAGATAGTCCAAAAAACAACTGAGATCCAATTCCCATGATCAAGAGCAAGAGCACCCTCTCCAGTGTCAATTAACCTCCCTTTAGGCCTGCTCGCATCTGGAAATTTTGTTCGCGTTTGGAAGCAAAGAATTGAGCGAGCAGCTGGTCGTATATGAAAAAACTCGCACATGGATGCACTCGTAAGTAGAGGTTCCACTGTATTTGCAATACAGTGGACCCCCGACTTATGATCAGCTCCCAACTCGAGCAATTTTGGAAGTGTATTTTTGTAAGTGCTTTTGTAAGTGTATTTTTGGGGGTCTGAAACGGACTAATCTAATTTACAATATTCCTTATGGGAGCAAATTCGTTCGGTAACGGCACCCGAACAGCCTTCTGGATTGAATTAATATTGTAAGTTGGGGGTCCACTGTAATTGTATAAGTAATATCAGTGCATTTATGAATGCATATTAGACCCACCAGTTGACATTTATTGTACATGTGACGTGAATTGTTTACTCTTTTGAGCTCAATTTCAAGTTACTTTTAGTCAGTAAAACATTAAAAATCACCTCTGTTTTTGTAATATATCTTCCATTCTATCAACTGAGACCAAGAAAATGAAAATACAGTGTACCCCCGCATACCGATTTTAATCCGTGCAAGAGGGGTCATTGTTATGCGAAATAATCGGTATGCGAATGAATTTTCCCCATAAGAAATAATGGAAATCAAATTAATCCGTGCAAGACACCCAAAAGTATGAAAAAAAAAAAATTTTTTACCACATGAAATGTTAATTTTAATACACACAAACTGAAAAAGGCATGCACACTTACATGACACTTACTTTTATTGAAGATCTGGTGATGATTGATGGGATGGGAGGAGGGGAGAGAGAGTGTTAGTGTTTAGAAGGGGAATCCCCTTCCATTAAGACTTGAGGTGTCGAGTCCTTTTCTGGGGTTACTTCCCTTCTTCTTTTAATGCCACTAGGACCAGCTTCAGAGTCACTGGACTTCTTTCGCACAACATATCTGTCCATAGTGGCCTGTACCTCTCGTTCCTTTATGACTTCCCTAAAGTGTTTCACAACATTGTCAGTGTAATAATCACCAGCACGGCTTGCAATAGCTGTGTGAGGGTGATTCTCATCCATAAAGGTTTGCACTTTCAGCCACATTGCACAGATTTCCTTAATCTTTGTAGTAGGCAACTTCTTCAATTTCTCTCTCCCCTCCTCTGAACAGTTTTCTCAGGTCTGGCCCCTTGCTCTTGAAGTTGATCTATCAGCTCATCAGTGGTTTTGTTCTTCATTGTCCTCCTCCACCAACTCTTCCACATCCTCCCCACTAACCTCCAACCCCAAGGACTTTCCCAATGCCACAATGGATTCCTCAACTGGCATAATCCTCTCAGGATTAGCCTCAAACCCTTCAAAATCCCTTTTGTCTACACATTCTGGCCACAGTTTCTTCCAAGCAGAGTTCAAGGTCTTCTTAGTCACCCCTCCCAAGCCTTACCTATAAGGTTTACACAATTGAGGATATTAAAGTGCTCTCTCCAAAACTCTCTTAGAGTCAATTGAGTTTCTGTGGTCACTACAAAGCACCTTTCAAACAGAGCTTTTGTGTACAGTTTCTTGAAGTTTGCAATAACCTGCTGGTCCATGGGGTGCAGGAGAGGATGGTATTAGGAGGCAAAAATTTGATGTTAATGAATTTCATGTCCCCATAAAGTCGCTCTGCACTCTGTAGGGGGATGGGGGTTTTTGTCTAACCCCAGGAGGCACTTAAAGTTCTAATTTTTTTTCAGTTAGGAAATCTTTAAAAATTGGGGGGCAAATGCTTGGTGTAAAAAAGTCTAAAAAAAAGCCCCAAAGTGCCCCCATCCCTTACTGTTTGCCTCCACAGCCCCCCCCAAAAAAAAACAAATTCTCCTTGAGGACATTTTTTTTTTCCCTAAACCCGTTTGGGAAGTTCAAAAGTGATCACTATAAAGGCTTAACTTTGCAATAAACCGAAAGCTTTTGGAAAACATCAACAAAGTAAGCCTGTCTTTCATGGGGTTTTATGTCCGGGGAGGCCTTTTCCCCCCCCCGGAAAAAATGTAGGTCCTGTTTGGTTTTTTTTCCCAAAAAACAGGCCCTTTTTCATCAAAAAATTAAACATTTTTCGGGTTTCAGCCCTTCAGTTTCTATGTACTCCTTAAAATTCATGCAAATTTTTTTCAGCCGCTTTGTGGTCCGAACTGGCCCCCCTCCCCCATGCCTTATCACATAGGGTATCCCATTTGCTTTTTAAAATCTCTCAAACCAACCTTTGCGGGCCCTTTAAAAATTCACTCACTTTCCCCCTTATTTTGCAGGCTTTTTTTTAATTAAATCCTCTTAAAACTTCCTAGCCTTTTTGCTTATGATCGTTTTAGAGCGCTATCTCCGGGGGCTGGGCTTTTTTTCTTTATCCCCCCAATAAGAGTCTCTCAAATTTTCCCAATCACTTGCGTTTCTTTTTTTCCCCCAAAAAACACATTTAAAACCCTTTTGGGCAAGAACAGTTTCCTTTAAATTCCCCTTTCTGGTCCCCACAATAGTAGCCATGGTTGATTGGGGTTTCTTGTAAAAACCTAAACCAGGTCGGGATACGCACTCACTTTCATCCCTTATCAATGATCTCTTTCTTCTTTTCTTTTTGGGGAATTTTCTCATTTTTGGGTTTGTGGGGGTTGGGGACTAAAAAGCTTTCTTGGGGCCCATGGCCCACTTTTTTCCCAAAAAACGCCCCAAAAAACCTGTAATAATACGAAATTTTCCCAAATTTGTATGCTTGGATGTTACTGCGGAGGCTGGTTTGGAAAAACAAGGGCAGGGCGGCCCCAGGTGAGGTGGCTGGGGGCGCACTTTGGCGCTTTTCTGGGGACAAAAAATGGGGAATGGGGGGTTCAGGGGGGGGTGGGGGGGCGGGGTTTTTTAAAGCGGTTTTGCAAAGGCAAATTTTTTGCGTTTTAAAG